AAGATTTGCTCCCTGATTACTGACATTAACAAAAGAGTTAAATTTTCCCTCATGACTCTCAGCCTGACTATCCATTGCTCTTGCTCATTTTTTCCCCTCTGTCAATGTGGTGATTTTCTTCATTCACTCTGTTGGTATTTTTATGCAAATGTTTTTTTTTTATGAAGTTACTGTCATGCTATAATACATGGACCAATATCTACCTATATATTCTCTACACACAAACAGAGACAATGCCACTGCCCCTAAATCTCAAAATGTCTGGCCTGCACAAACACATGCTTACACAGTTTGAGTGTCTAACCGGAGCAAAGTGGAGGAGACCAGGCTGTAGATGCCTGAGCAGCTTGAGTCATTACGGCTGTTGAAAACACGTATTCCTGCATTGGTTCCAAGGCTACAAACTGAACAAACACAGCAGCAGTGGGAGAGACAAAACTGTCACATAAACAAACAACACACACACTCTCAACAGAGCTGGCAACTGGGCAGACTACATAAGGCCATTTAAGGCTGGAGGCTTGCCTGGATCAGACCCTTAAAGCTTTTAAAAGCTAGGCTTCAAGAATTGACCACTACTGGCTTAAGTAAAAACCTGTTTCATTTAGTGCAGTATTCAAGGGCCTGTCATGGAATACAAAGAGATAAACAAACCATCTACTTGTTGCTTTGTAGATGAATAATCACTGTAAGTGGCGATGCTTGGCTGATCAAAGCCTTTTCTGTAAACATAAGAGAATGTGCTTTTTTTCTTGGCAAGTGGTTCCAATTAAATTGCTCTCCGGCACAATCAGAAGCACAAGATTAAACAGAGATTTGTCAAAGCCATAACACATTTTGAATCGACTGTTTGCTAAACCCATCCCCTGACAAAGTGCTTGTCCAATCACACTTTAGCAAACGTAACTAGGCATGGCAGGTTTGTCAAGCTTTTGGTTTCCCCACATGCTAAAGGGGTGTGCATGAGGCTGTAGTAAGAGTGATACCATGGAGGACGGCGTCTTTGTTTTTTGCCTTTCCAAAACCAAAAGCAAAAGGGTAAGAAATGGATTAAACACTTTGTTCTAATGTAAGCTGCAAAAGTTAGCATGTCTGGCTATTTAGCATTACTTCCTGTCAGAATCGGCCAAGTACGGTGACAGAAAAAGCATCGATTTTTTCGATTTCAATTATGCTTATCGATTCCCAGTTTTAAAAAAATCAAATGTTAACATAACAAAAATGTCTTTACTTGTTTATGCATTTATTATGACTGTATTGTTTCATTAAAAAAGTAAATTCAACATATTTGAACTATTTTAAGTAAACATACAATAAAAACACATGATCCACAATCAGTATACACTTATGCTGGGGTAGTTCACGTTCCTCAGTTTTCTCTTTGGTCACCTTGTCCTTTTATTGCCAAAGACAACGTTGTGTAGCGGTTGGGTATCCCGGACTCTACTGGAGGTACGCGCAATGACTGATGACCAGTGTTGCGCAGTAACCAGTTGGCCAAACGTTATTCAGGATTATTACTTTTCACAGTAACTAGTAGTGTTAGGGATTACTATTTCCTAAACAGTAATAATATTACAGTTACTAAAACTGTTGCAAAACCATCGAACTGCATTGCCGGAGAGTCTGATACACTTTTCCTTATCTATTTTTTCTTATAGTCTGAATGCTAACTATCTCTACAGTGCAATGCAAGAATAATGCTGTTTCTTTATTATTTTCACATTTTTTCCCATGATTAATCAACTAGTTAGGATGCTTAGGATGATGACTATTTGCTGGGAAATCAATCCTTGAGCATGATATCATGTATGTAGCCATCAAGTGCATATTTAAGACTTCTTTTCAGGGTTCTTATTTTAAAGGAAGTCAGCCAGAGACTGCGTTTTCAAGCAATTCATGGAGCTAATGCTACTTAGCTAACTAGCTACAGCAGATAAAATCTCACCATTACAGTTTGCGTAATCAACTGTCGCAGGCTAGAATCAAGATGCCTGCTTTTGTCTATCTCATCTCTAAATCATGGACCCATTGTTTCAAACATTACTAAGAATTTCAATGGTAAATCTGCTACTGTTATTGTATTCTGCATCTGTGCTGTGAGAGAATGTAAAGTTTGACAGGCATACCAACAGTATCTGAAAAGGGTGTGGCTCAGCAAATTGTTAATTGTTGAAAGAGGAGTGCAGAGCACAATATGTGATCAAAAAACAATAACCAAAATAGTAACTGGCCAACTGTTTTCCGACTACCACCAACGCACCAACATAAAACACACAAACAAAGGCTTACGCAGACCCTCGTTTCTTCCTTTACAGCATTTCTTCCATCTCTCTCAACTCCCATTCCACACAAACACTCTCTCTCCCATCCCTCCATCCCTCCCTCTGTGAAGAGGGCTACCTCTCCCTCATTTGCGTGTGTGAGTGGTTGTACTGGTGTGTCAGTAATGACAATGTCCCAGTGTTCCTCTCTGCCAATTAGCCCAGCCATAATTATACAGACACATATGGAGCTGTCAATCACCCGGCTCCTCCACACAGGAAATCACCCACCCAGCGGAGAGAGTGAGAGAGACAGAGAGAGAGACAGAGACAGAGAGAAAGAGAGAGAGAATGAGAGTTTCCAACAGCTAGCTCTATACCACTCCAAACAACCACCCACTGTGCCAATAAGTAGCATGAGGAGAGTTTCGTTCAATTACTCTAACTGTGCGGCAATCCCACAGTTCACAGGAAAATGCCATGAAACCACATTAGAGGCTTTGGCAACCTATTTTTGTTTTGAGCTTCATTTCTGTAGCAGTTACAGTTCCCTATTTACTGAAATTGTTGTTAACACAATTTATGCCAATGCATTCTCGGGATTGTAACCAGACCATATGTTGATTTAACTGGTGCAAAGAGAAGTGGTGTATTGTATGTAGAAATATACTTTCTTTAGTTATTCTAAAAGGCTGTTCATTGAAAATTGCAAAATTAGAAACAAATGGTTGAAAGATATATTAAATTAACACTGAGAACACTGAGAAAATACTGCGTTGTCAGGCACATTACCATCCATGTTACCCTTGAAGGATAAAGGTGATAGGCTACATTTTTTGTCTAAATCCCATGATAAAAACCCAACGTGTTCATCCTACAAACAAGTAGTGACTGTGTAGCAAAAGACTGGCATAGCTTATTCTTCTGTGCCATAGCCATATTAAAAACAATCAATGAGCCACACTGTTGTGATATGTGACATTATAATGATGAACATGGGCACTGCTGATGGAAATACTCGCTAGAGAAATGTGTATCAAGCAACGTATAAAATTGTTCCTGAAAAATGTACAATATATTTGTGACTTATTTTTTAAGATTTACATCTCCAATATGGCAAATGAGTTCCACAAACGTGGTAGTAAAGTCAGAAATTATTAAGAGACACAAAATGCATTGTTGGTTTCGGTCTTTTCATGGGATTTGGTCTTTTGATAGTACTCTACATGGAACATTTGTTAAGCTGAGTATAAAATATAAATATGATTTGATGATATCTACATATTTGTGCTTAGGAAAAAAGGCAACACGACAGAAGTAAGATTACACATTTGTGTAATGCTGATCTTTATCATTTTTATCACAATAATTTACCCACTATGGTAGTCTGCACAAGACATGCCTCAGTTTTCCACCAACTGAGTCAATTGTAAGTTAATTAAGGCTGCAAAAAACTAGTCTGAAAGAAGGCAACAAAAGCCAAAAGATAGTGTAAATATGTCACTCTAAACAGCAATAGTACAAATGCAAACTACTAAATGATACCATTGAACAATACCATTAAGCCATCCCATCTATCAAAGGGTATAAAGAGGTACCATATGATAGGGCTGTGGGAGTACGTGAGACAAAAGAGGTTAGGAACCACTGGTCTACAGCATGTGTTTACTGTCAAAGCATTGGTCTGAATTTTGCTATACCTGTATATTTAATTTCTTTTTCCACATATAAGCATCTCAATGTAATAATAGTGAAACATGAATACAATTCATTGATTCATTCATAAAGTAGAATGTGGAAGGTACAAAAAGTGAAAGTTTTGGCAGGACTTGGATATCCAGTAGGTAAGAATATGATCTTAGAGCTGGGAGGTTTAACCACTTACAACAAAAACACCTGGCTAGTTTGATTTCTAAATCGGACGGTACACAAAATATTGGAATATAAAACATTTTACAGTTTTACAAGGTCTCCTGGGAGCTAAAGCTATAAAATATGCCTGGGGAAAATTAAATGAATGGTGAAGGATACTGATTGCATGTTTCAGATCGATGCAGAAACATCTTTAACAAATGATACTTAAATCTATATTACCCACTCATCCAGCCGCATTAATTAATCCCTGCTTTTGGGATTGTAAATAAATGCATTCAAGTTCTAGTTAATAGAGGACCTGATTTCCCCTGAGCATCTCCGACAGAACTAAACAAATGAAAGTTTCATAATAAAGAAGATAACATGCACGGCGCTCAAGTTATTCGTCAAGCTTTCAAGTTTTGTGAGATGATGTCTGCGGTCCCATAATTTCTATCCATTAGGGTGCCAGTTGTCTGGTAATGATGATGAGTTGACACAAGAGACAAAGCGCAAGTAATAGAAAGAGTATTTGTGAATGCATACACATGTGAAAAAGTGTGTTTCACTTGTTCAGCTAAGAGTGATGAACAGAGGTGATGATAATAATAATAATCATAGCGATAACAATAACTTTTATTCAAATTGCACTTTCATGACAAAGAGTTACAAAGTGCTTTGCAAGACAATTAACAATGAATGATGAGGAGAGAAAAAAGCAGGGAGCAGAAGGTCCAGGATGAGGTCCTTTGATGTAGGAGAGTAGGAGGAGCAGAGGTAGGAAATCCAATAATTAGAGTAGAGCAGGAGGGGGAGAAGGTCAGAAGAATATGAGAGAGGGATGAGGAGCAGAAGGATGGAGGTCCCAGCAGCAAGTCTTACCTCTGGGACGTCTTCTTGTACTTGCGCCTGACAGAGAAAACAGACATTAGGATAGTAAGGCATTAATTGAAATGTAACTCTGGTAATCTTTGTTGGATTTATTTTTCTACTTAACATTCTTAACATGTAAAGACAGAAATAAAAGACATTGGGCCTCATGCAAGAACCACCCGTACGAACACATTCGCTCCGAGCATGTGGAAGGGATTTTAGAGATTTGTCGCATTCACCAAAATGTTCTCGCCCTTAAAGTATTCTCCTAGGTTTAAATGAAATTCAGTATCGGTCCAATTCGATTAGGTGAAGGAATCCACTTTTGCTAGTTTAATGGTGGGAAAAAATGAAAAATTGAACTTAGTCTCTTAAATAATCATGGGTGTGTTTTAGCCAGGTGCGCTTGTACCTTGGTGCATTTCTATTTAAATGGCACATGAATCCAGACTAGCAGCAGAGAGAGAGAGAGAGAGAGAGCTCATGTGGACAAGTGAGAGTGTGAGTATGGAAACTCTACAGTGCTGTGGTTTATAGGTGAAGTGTATGAATTACACTTCAGACTGGAGTCTCTGTTAACAGAGACAAACAGATAGATCCATGTTATGTTATGCTCCTCCCCTGTGTGAAACGTCTGTATCCTCACTGCATCCTCACTGCGTCTGTATCCTCACTGTGTCTGTATCCTCACTGCATCTGTATCCTCACTGTGTCTGTATCTTCACTGCATCCTCACTGCATCTCTATCCTCACTGCGTTTGTATCCTCACTGTGTCTGTATCCTCACTGCGTCTGTATCCTCACTGTGTCTGTATCTTCACTGCATCCTCACTGCATCTCTATCCTCACTGCGTTTGTATCCTCACTGTGTGTATCCTCACTGTGTCTGTATCCTCACTGTGTCTGTATCTTCACTGCATCCTCACTGTGTCTGTATCCTCACTGTGTCTGTATCCTCACTGCGTTTGTATCCTCACTGTGTCTGTATCCTCACTGTGTCTGTATCCTCACTGTGTCTGTATCCTCACTGTGTCTGTATCTTCACTGCATCCTCACTGCATCTCTATCCTCACTGCGTTTGTATCCTCACTGTGTCTGTATCCTCACTGTGTCTGTATCCTCACTGCGTCTGTATCCTCACTGTGTCTGTATCCTCACTGTGTCTGTATCCTCACTGTGTCTGTATCCTCACTGTGTCTGTATCTTCACTGCATCCTCACTGCATCTCTATCCTCACTGCGTTTGTATCCTCACTGTGTCTGTATCCTCACTGTGTCTGTATCCTCACTGTGTCTGTATCTTCACTGCATCCTCACTGTGTCTGTATCCTCACTGTGTCTGTATCCTCACTGCGTCTCTATCCTCACTGCGTTTGTATCCTCACTGTGTCTGTATCCTCACACGCTGCATTATAATAAACTGTGATATAACTAGTCGTGGGTCACAGTTGATTTAATTGATCCAGGTAATTGTTTTATTGTGTATTGTATTCATGAATGAGAGTTTTCTTTAATTAGAGAGGCTGCTGTGCATCCTCACCGATCCAGTCGGTGTGTCAGGATATTTAAATAATAAGTTATGCGTCTGTACCTCGTGCGTAAATGCGCATGGCGTCTTTCTTAACGGGGATTCACCCTATTTCACCCATCCGCAACCCAACTGCTATTAATCAGAATGTTAGTTTTTATGACCAGACCCACCCGATCCGCGGATACGACACTCCACTAGAAAAACATATGCAGAAATTTACTTCAAATTTAACATCCCATTTATGGTATCATTATTATCATGGAATGCCAATTTACTGAGAGATTTGAGAAGTTTGTTTTTTTATGATTTCACGAGCTTGCACAAAATTCTCGGCTGTCCTGGTGCTCAGTTGCACCCGACAGTGTAACATCATCACTTGCTGTATAATGTACAGTACTACTGTCCATCCCATTTAAGTCATGGACCTATTTGCTTTTTTAAAAACGTTTTTAGCATCTAATGTCATGTCAAACCATTCAGTCTTTGTTTCTGTCAGTAACAGCACAGTTTGGATGACGATTCTTTGGCAGCTTGATATTTTCTAATTGTTTTGGGTCCTCCTATACAACTACTGAAATTGTTTTCTATTTGTTTTTTCATCTGCTGACTTGATGCTCTGCTGTGTGAAACTCTTCTTTATGCCCTTTGGAAACAACATTCTGAAATAAAACTTGCACACTGACGAGTAGAAAATGAAACAGGCAGCTTTATACAGCCTATCAGGCATTAATTATGCAAATGATCAAATCTCATGAACGCACACCTACTGGTGGTCTTCATTGAGTTGAAATGAGCAGTAAGTTTGCTGAATCTGACTTGGAATAAAGCGCACAGAAAACACTAAGAAGGCTTTAAGGTAAAAATCCAAGGAGTTTCTTGCATGAGAGTCACTGTGCTGTCATTGTCCCAAAAAATAAAAATAAGCATCCAGGAGAATGCTACTGCATCAAAGGTGTGTATTTAAAGCAATTATATGTTCCTCTGATTGTAGTGGTTGTTTGTTTTTCCTTTTTTAGGGATAATGTTAGTCCCAGAAGTCATATTTTTTAGTTGTGTTCCCACTGTAAATTTATTTAAAAAAAATGCAAATGCTTACAATCACTTATGCAGATGAGGGATTTAAGAGAGGCGTAATGAAATGCAAAAAGCACACACACACCACCCCACCCCTTGACATCACACCTACTGTACTACTACACACACACACATACACACACACACACACACACAGGTTACCTACACAGTCACATTAAAACACACCTGCTATCACTTACCCTAACATTTCACCTAAAACACGCCCACGCCTCCATAAAGAGATAACAGTGTGGTTCTATAAGTTGAATTCATGAACACACACACATACACACACTTAAGACACTCATAACAGCAAAGTGGAGGGAAGGATGGACCGTCTGCCGTTCCACTACAGACATGGATTTAAATTCCAGTCAGGCAGAATTCACAGCACTTAGCTTGATTTGTTTCTCACTCGTTTATTGAATCAATCTTTCCTAGAGCTCAGAATAAAACTGCAAGCTAAGGAAGATCAGCTCCGTAAAGAAATGTTAAGAGCTCCCTCATGATAAGAAAAAAAGAAAGATTAAATCCATCATTTTGGGTCCATCAAGCAATGACAATTAAAAAGACATGAAGTGTCACAGTCAGATGTTATGGGAGTTACAAACAGAGAAATTGATGCAACAAAAAAGAGAAGAGAGGAGGAGTTTTAGGAGAAGGATATGGATAACAAAAGCATGTAAGAGACCAATAAATAAGGATAAATAACAAAATGGGAACCTTAAGGTCAGGGGGAAACAAAAGTATGGATATTCTCCTTACCCCCTTTTCTATCTTTTATCCCACCTTTTGCCCCCTCCCCCTCACTGATCTTGCTTTATATCCAAACGCGTGTGTCAACAACACAGAGCTTCTTCTAATTAGAAGGCTTTAATGCAATGTCCTCTGCATAATGATGATGTGGGTTGGAAGGGTTCATGGAAAGTCTTGGAATTATTGTATTTAAAAAGGTCACAGAGAAGTTAAATGTAGCCCAGTAAAAGTAAATGTTTAGGTTATGTTTAAATAGCTGTCTTGATGGCTAAAAGCAGCTTGTTTGTGCCTCACAAATCAGATAGTGTCAAGGCGGTCATCTGGCCACCTTGATCCTCCTTGGGACTTCCCCTTAGGGAGCTCTATGTGATGAACTGTTGATCAAGTGATTAAATAATTCATTGATTTCCATTAATCAGTGGTTGACGGAGAGGTCGCGTCTGATGCACTGATTCAATTTATCAGTGAAAATCCATTGGAATACATTCACCCATGCAAAAAGATAACAGGTCCATTTGACAGCGTGAAGCATTAAAACACAACACGCTGTTCATGACTTCATCAGTGGATGTCACCGGGCTTTAGACTGCGTCACTGAAGGTTGAACAGAGGGAAAGTCCAAAGCAAATGCTCTCTCTGTCTATCCATAGATGATTGGTGTACTCTGCGGAGTACACTGTGCCTGAGAGTGCTGTGATAGCCATCCAGCACACACATGCACACACACACACATACACACAAATCATACAGCTGCCAAACAAATCTCTTAGGATAAGCTGTCATCACATACAGTAAATGTCACCAAGTCGCCATGTACACTTTCAAACACACTTCCAATCTATATTGTCCACACAAGCACATGCACACATAACCTTTCCCAATCACACACACACACATACATATGCTGCATGTTGTTGATCCCTCACACAACATACACTGTGTGAAGCATCAACATCTGTGGGGGCTGCCTGTCAGTTGGAGCTCCCTCTCTTCAGACGGAGGCTCTTTGTGAGATTAAAGGCTAATGTGATCTCTGACACGCAACAGGAGCCCTCAGAGCACCCAGCAGACTGCAGTGTAGTCGTGATGGGGGGAAAAAACATTCATCTGACTCACTATCCATCAAATATCCAAAAAGACAGATGGTTATGATAGGGGATTTATGAGGGTGACCAAATGGAAGAGACAATGAAGCCATCCGAGGAAACTAAATGTGGCAGAGGATGATGGTGGGGGGATCCACATATCGGGTTTCGGACACAGGAGAGAGAGAAACAGTGACTAATCATGGAACAACAGAGATACCATGACATGAAAATAACTAAAAATAAAACAGTGATGTGAAGGGAGAGGAGAGGAAGGCTGATAGATGAACTGCAGCCCCATGCACAGTTCATTCACTCAGCAGTCATCTGTGGCGCAGGAGGAAACTGCATTTCATTCAGACCTCCAGCAGTAACAAAAAATAAATAAATGTTCTAAACACAACTCACCGTCTCCTCCCCCTGCTGAGGAAGAATGATGAGAAGTGAAAATGGATAAGCGAAAATTCCCACTTCAACTTGCATAAGCGGTGAGTGGGGATTTCTTCTCAGGGTGAAAGGTCATAGAGGTGTTGATTGGTTGGTGGATGAGAGAAAGTAATATTGCAGTGTTGGAGGGTTTAAAAAAGTACC